TAAGGTTTCTAATTTCATAACAAATAGCCACTTTTATTAATAAATCATCAAGTCAATTAACAGTTTTTAATGATGTTAAAAATATGTTTTAATTAATAATTTAGGTAATTTTATTATTGTATAGGAGATCAATTATGGACTTTATTTTTTTAGTTAATTTTGTTAAATAAAAAATTCTAATAAAGGAATATTTCTAACTTTTCAAACTACAGGGGGCAATCTAATTTGTAATTTACCATATTTTCTAATAGGGAACATTTAACTTTAATTGGTTGAGTCTAGTTTGTCAAGTATTTGTATCTACTATTTGCCTTTGTTGTCTTTATTTAAAATTCTGGTGTGTGCGACGAATAAAATTGAAACAATAATGAGAGATTTTTTGGGGGAATGGTGGGGGAAGAAAAGACCATTTGATTAACTGAGATTAGGGATGGGAATTTGCAATACGACACAATAGCATGACTCGAACCGTATATGAAGTTAGCGGGTTAGGATTGACCATTTCCTGACATGAACACGTATATGAGACGATCCAATAACACGAATATTAAATAGGTCAAGTTAGTGTCAAATCTGTATAATATGAAATTGATACAGATAACCCCGTATAATGAAGAATTAGTTACACATTTAATATTATTTCTACTAAAGAGTATCACGACAATTTTTAATCTCTTACGTAACTACATCTAATTTATTAAATTGTATGTAAAATAATATTTTTAGTTTAATATAGGTTATGTTTTTTCCTTAATTGAACTTAACGTATTTTTTTTTGTCTATTATTTGAGTTAATCTAGTAAAAAATGTAATAATAATATATAATTTTTATAAACTAAGAAAATAAAATTAAGTTGAAATCAAATATGTTTGTAAAAATTTTTATTTAATAGAAATTAGTTTAATTAAATCTAACTTGTGAAGAAATTTTCAAAATTTTTTCGTACATTTAATATTTTTAGTTAATAGTGAAATTCTTTGTCATGATAAGTTAACATAACACAAACCGGATACGGATTGAAAATGACACGACACAATAACAAGAAATAATAAACAGGCCAGGTTAGTATTGAGGTAATTCTTACACAAAGCTGAGATGACACGACATGAACACGACCCAACCCGACACGATACCTACCCCTAACTAAGATGTGTTTTTTCTACCCAAGAATAAAGGTGGTCATGGTATGGGGCAAACTGTTGGAACTTGATAAAAAAAAAAGTGTTACTTGGTAAGTAGTTATGGAGATTTTCTATTCAGAGTAATGCTTTACGTGTGTTATCATTAAAAGTATGGAACTCAAGATAATGAGTGGGATTCCCACATAAGAAATTCTTGATACTCATGAAAATCCATCCCTCAGGGTATCCCTAGATTCTGTCGTTTAATTTGTTTTGTTGTAGGAAATAAAGAGCATGTTCATTTTTGGAAGGGTGTTTGGACAGGTGATGTCTCAGTTAATCATTCACTTCCTCATGTCTTTCCTTTCCTAAGTTCATAATGTTTCCATTGCTTTCATGATTTCTTCTTTTATTGTCCCAGTTGAAATGTATAGTATATGAGAATTAGGTTTATGGAAAGAGAGAAGAAAAGAAAAAGAAAAGAGAATAAAAATAACAGTTTTAGGTTATCTAACTAACCTTTACATTGTTAGCTCCTATTTATATTAAAACAATAAAAGACACAAATGATAAGATTACTCTATGCAATCAATAACCTTTTTGCGTACATGAGTACCCAAAAAAAAAAAAAAAACATTATAAGCCCAAGGAGATAACTTATCTTGATTGATTAGCCAAAACAACAATCAACATATAATTAATCAAAAGGGTAAATTACACTTTGCACCAAATCCAATTTTGGTCCCTACACATGAAATCATAATATTTAACTCCCTATACTTCTGATCAAATCCCAGTTTGGTCTCTACACATGAAATCGTAACTGCCAACCCCTACACTTCTGGTTACTTTGATCCATATACAAGTGTCAATGATCCCCTTGTATTACTCTATTGTTTAAATCTTTAACAAAATCTAGTCATATGACAAGAATGTGACTATGGAATGAAAGTAAGAGAGAAATCATCTTCATTTCCCACAAATACACACTTTGTCTCATGAGATAAGCACATGAGAGTTATATAATTCAACATATATATATATATATATATGTTCACATGCTGATTGGAACAAAGATGTAAGAAAATAGAGCTTTTGAAATAAAAAAAAGACAGCAGAAAAATCAAAAAGAAAGGAAGAGGAATAAATAAAAGATTGTGTTAATGTGAAAAATAGAGTTTCATGATTCCAATTTATGCAAAACCTAATTCATCTCCTTAATCATTCACAATCTGCGTTTTGTTTTAGATTAATACAGTCATAATTTGATGTAAATTTTGGGATGAAATGTGTGTAGGCGAGAAATGATGGTGATTTTTCTCTTTTGACCTCATTTTGTAGTCATATGCTTGTCACACTACTGAATTATGTTAAATGCTTATATGGTGGAATAACAAAAATGGGATATTGATACTTGATCAAAAGTGCATGAGAATGATTGTTATAATTTTATGTGTAGGGACCAAAGTGGAATTTGGTGCAAAGTGTAGAGGTGCAAAGCATAATTTACCCTTAATCAAATAACAAGCATTGAGCAAGCATCACCCCAAAAAAGTACTACATATTAAACATCAAAATGCAAGCAACATCAAACAAATGTCGATATTTTCTCTCAACAACACCGTTTTGCTGTGAGGTATGAGCACAAGTAGTTTCATGAATGATGCCATAGTCATCACAAAAATTAGTAAAAACAAATTATATGTATTAGAAGACAATATCAAACAAAAAAACTTCAGTGCAATTACCATATTGAGTAAAAGTTTTGTTATAAAATAGGTAATAAAATAGAGAAATAATATCAGGTCACTCAAATTGCTATTTATTAAAATTAACCATGTTATCCGAGAATAATTATCAAAAAAAAAAATAATTAACATTCACTACAAGAATTTACACATTTGGCGACCACTTTTGCCGACCAAAAAAATTTTGGTCGCAAAAAAATGACATTTGGCGACCAAATATTAATTAGTCGTGAATGATCATTATTTTTGGCGACCAAATATTATTGGTCGCAGAAGGTTATATTTTGGCGACCAAAAAAAGAGTTGGTCGCAGAAAGTGGTATGCTTTTGGCTACCAACTACAAATTTGGTCGCGAAAGGTGACATTTTTTTTAGCGACCAAAAATTTGGTCGCCAAAAACTTATTTTCAGCAACTAAAAAAAATTAGTCGCCAAATTAGCACTTTTAGCGACTAATATTTTAGTCGCCGTTGATTGAGATTTGGTACCTAAAAAAATTTGTCGGCGAAGGATACATTTTCTGCGACTAATCTGGTATTTTGGTTGCCAAAAATTTGGGAGGAAAATTTGAAACTTGGGGGGGGGGGATTGAAATTTTTTATCTTTAAAATCTGTTAGCTCACACATTTTCATTTTCTCCTCTCTCATCTCTCTTTGAAATAGGTGCGAGACAAGCGAACAAACAACACCGAACCACTCTCTCTCTCTCTCATCTTTGCATTCGATTCGAACCCTAGGCACATTGGATCAATCATTCGGAGTCTCTCTTGGATCTTCAATCAACTTATACATATACAGAAGAACAGAGAGATAGATAATAGAGAGGGAGAGAGAGAGAGAGAGAGAGAGAGAGAGAGAGAGATTGTAAGCTAATGGCGGAACACTCTGATTTAGACCAGCTCCTTGATAGTAAGAAATTCAATCTCTCCCTCTCTCTCTCTCTATGTATATGTATATACATGTATATGTATGTATTTACATGAGTTCTAATCACCATTGAATCATTTCAGGCGCTTTGGATGATTTCCAAAATCTCAATCTTTCTTCTTCTATTCAAACTCAAAGGTATTACTCTCTCTCTCTCTCTCTCTCTCTCTCTCTCTCCTCATATACATATACATATATGTATACGTATACGTATATATAAATATGTTGATAGCTTTGCCCTTTGATTTCAGGAGTGGAGATGGTGAAGTGAAGAAACATGAGAGTTCTATTATATGCATTTTGGTCGCAGTATATATAGTTTTGGCAACTAAAATATTTTAGTCGCTGAAAGAAAAATAAAAACTATTTTTTATCTTTCGAAAAGTTTGGTCGGCAAAACCTTAATTTCAGCGACTAAAAATTAGTTTAGTCGCGGTATATATAGTTTTGGCAACTAAAATATTTTAGTCGCTGAAAGAAAAATAAAAAATTATTTTTTATCTTTCGCGACCAAAAGTTTGGTCGGCAAAACTTTAATTTCAGCGACTAAAAATTATTTTGGCCACGGTATATATAGTTTTGACAACTAAAATATTTTAGTTGCTGAAAGAAAAATAAAAAATATTTTACCACCACCACCACCACCAACACCTCATATCCACCACCTTCACCACTACTGTCGCTTCCTCTCCTCTACTAAAAAAAATTAGTTATTGATTTTTAGTATAAAAAAAAAATTGGCCACAAAAAAATATTTTTAATTGACCATAAAAAATTAATTTTATTTTAACGAAAAATATTTTTTATTGAAATATTACCCCTCCTTTTACCAAATAAAAAAAAATCATTAAAAAAAATGAAAAAAAAATTCCCCCTTTTTTTCACTGACCCGCCCGGCCAAACTTATTTCCCCCATTTTTTCCGTCTTTCCCCCATTTTTTCATTTCCTTTCAGGTTTGCAGAGCCCTGTTTCGAAACAACACGTCTCTCTCTCTCTCTCTCTCTCTCTCTCTCTCTCTCTCTCACGAAGGCGAGCGACGAGCGGCGAATTTTGGTTCGAGTTATGAGCTTCGAAGCTGCTTCTTCAAAGCTTCTTCACCAATTGCTGGGACCAGAAAATGTGCAGCGTTGGTGTCGGGGTTGTCCTATGTTACTTCACCAATGATTTCATCGTTCAATGAGGTTCCAATCAGCTCAATCTCTATTTTTCTTTGTTAAAAAATGGTTTTGATTTTTCGGTTTTTGTTTTTTTGTGCGATTCTGATTTCTATCTATGTGGGTATCTGTATTACGATTACTTTCGGTTTACCAGTGTGTTGTAAATGTTTTTTATGATTTTCATTTCCATCGCTTTAAGAGACCTTGGGTTTTGCACTGCAGGTCGAAATGTTGAAAATCTTGTTATGCATAGTGTGCTTAGCTTTATTTGCAAAGTAGATGTAAGGTATGTGATAGATTATCCTCTATGTTTATTAGTGCTGTGTTTTGTATCTATCATCTTCCTGATTTTATTTAATTTTCTTATAAATTTTTGGCAAGTCCCAATACATATCTCCTACACCAAGAGCTGCTTAACTTCATGCTCGTAGCCATGTCAACTCAGCTTCTTTCTGGGCCATCACCAGGACCCAAGGATATTCACCCATTCATTGATATGGCAATGGTCCAGGTGACAAGAACTTCTTACTTTTTTTAGCTCGTCCAAAATCTGCAGTTCTTTTAACAGGTATTGCTGTTCTGTCAATTTGCTATTACATTTTCAGGAAAGCTCTTTTGTTGGTTTGGTTGTTCGCAAACTGCTACTTAATTACATCATGCGACCTCACTTCGCCTTAAATACTACATCTTATGACATGTTTTCTGAAGGAAATCAGTCCGGTGTTTTACAGAGAGTTGGTTCTGCAGCTGGTATGGTGGTTTATTTGATAATGCTCATTTTTTACAAGCAGTCAGCTGGTATGGTTTTATTCTGTTAATATGCAGTATGCATCATACTTGGATTGGGATGTTTTTTGTTTTACAATGTTGAGCAATCAATAAACAATGAGGGCATTTAGGAGGATTGATGGAGTTTTTATTGCTCAGAAATTAACTTATGGAGACCCTTTTTCTTACCTCTCCTGATATTTGAACCAGCAATTCTGGTATAAATTAGTGTAAGAATTTGCACCAGGGGAACAACTACAACATTGTAGTTCTATAAGAATTTGCACCAGGGGAGATATGTGTCAGTCTTACCGAAGGGCAGTTCCAGCAGGTACAGATGGTGTTCGAATTGGAATGTAGTTCTATAAATAGGATGTATATAATGTACACTGTATTGATGAAACTTAATGTTTAATTTTGATGGGTTGAAATTCAGAGCATCAAGCAGATTCTTGGACTTCAGCATGGAAAACAGTATGACAGTTTGAAGACTTTGAGATATGGTCATTTGATGATCATGACTGATCAGGTTTAAAACATGGATATTCATAATCCAATGCCATCTCACCTGAAAATCCACTTTTCTCTACTGCATTGGAAACTTATCTTGTTTGTTTTGATGATCTTCTTTTTCTCTAATTTCCATAACATTTGTGGGGACAACTATCATAGTGTGGTATTTTATATTTTTCTAAAAAATTGTTGATGCCATGCTTAAATAAGTTGTAATGTCAATCTAACTCGGTTGCACTGTTCATTGATCACTTTCACACTATCTTCTTTGTTTGTTTTGTTTTGTTTTGTTTTTTGGTTCATTTCCAACACAATTGTGATTGAAATCAGTTGAATCACAGATGATGATGGTTCTTATTTAGATCCTTTGTTGGAGACACTGTGGAATATATTATCATGTGCGTCATACTCCCTTCTAAGATCTATCTTCATGCTTTCATATACAGGTGTCATTCTGCACTTATCTGATGTGTTGATATTTTCTCCTCCAATTGTATTGATAGTAGGATGGTTTTTTGATGGTGATCCATTTTGTTCTTCCTACCCTTCTCTTTTTAGTGGCATGCTTAAATCTTATTGAAACTTACCTCAGGTGTTCTCAGCTTTTGGCTTTGTCCACAAGATTGCAACTTTTGAGAAGGCTGTAGGTTTTCAGGTGTGATGTCGAAAATCGCCTTCTTCTTCTTCTTCTTCTTCTTCTCTCTCTCTCTCTCTCTCTCTCTCTCTCTCGTTTTTCTTGTATTTTTTTGGTATCTGCATTGGTCTTTCTGTACTTTTGTAAATTTGCCACCTACCTTTGCATGTTCGAAGGCATTGATCCAATTCAGTGATGTTGAGACTGCAGTTGCAGCAAGAGATGCATTGGATGGAAGAAGCATACCCAGGCATGCTATCTTTTATTCGTATCCATCTTAATTGCTTTCCCCGCTTTTTTACGATATTGCTAAGTTTAGAACTGTGGAAGTTCTCACTATGGTGGATTTCATATTTGGTATGTAACAAATTTCAGGTACTTGCTTCCAGACCATGTTGGTTCATGCCACTTGCGCATCTCATATTCGGCGCACACAGACTTGAATAGTAAGTTCCAATCACATCGAAGCAGGTAATAATGAATCCAGCTGGCCAGTAATTTGATTTTTTTTTATTCTGTATTTGGCTATAATCAACGCTTGCTCTTTCATCATTACGCTTCTATGATTATGATTTTTGGTGATTGAGGTCTTGCTAATTGATGCATGTGGTTTTTGTTAACTAGGGGTTAGTCAAGCTCGGCAGCTAGAACACAGATGTGTTTTTCATGGCCTCTTAGTAATTTTCTTAATCTTATTGTAGTTGTTTAATGTGTTCCTGTAATTTCACTGTAGTTGAAATTTTTTGGATCTCATTAGTTTATATCTAGTAAATGCATTGAACGAACACATCTCACCTTTTGTCTTATTTATTCAGTTATTCGTAAATGGCAAATACCCTCGTCATATCTTACTACAAATGCTTTACAATCATGTTGGACCTCCACTGTCAATGACACGAAGTTTCAGTTGCACTTTTTGTCTTTTGTTCTAGTTTTTTAGTTTATGTTGTTCATGTGTCTTTTTAAACATACATCTTATCTGCAGCCTGTATTCAGGGATGGCAACAGGTTGGGTATGAGTCAGGGGGGTATACCCTTCCCCGCCTCATATAAAAAAAAAATTGCAAATAAAAAAATTGTGTAGTGACCTTCTTGAAGACAAACATGCTTTCACAAAGTAAAATTTCCTCTTCAAGCAACCTAAAACAATAAAATTGCAAATGTAGAACACTTTATTTGTATTTTTTTTCTTTTTTCTTTTATTTTTTTTCTATTTCCTCTGTTTTTTTAGTAACCAAAAGAATTCTAAAAATATTGAAATTCAAGAGTCTCTAACAATCAAGAAAATCATTGATGCATTAGTGGAAAAAATACAAGGCAAATGAAGCTGGAAATCAACATTGCCACCACCTCCGTTGACTTGTTCCACCATTGTTCTCTTTGGGGACCCATTCGTTGCCCACCTACTGTGTGGTTCAAGCAGTCCTCCAACCCAACTTTGACTCGGAGATGTAAATCACCAATCTCTAAACCAATTGAGCTTCTTTTTTAAAACAGATGGTGTAATGTCTCCCATCCTGAATTGAAACGATATTGCTTGATTTGGGCTACCCTTGTGACTTTAAAACACACTGTTATTAGGAAGAGATGTGAACTCGTTTATATAGCCCAAGAAGTTTTCAGAAGTCAGAACCACACGTCCTTGTGTGGTGTGTGATGATGCATTTAACTTTGCACAAAAAATGGAACAAAAAATATGTCGAAAGCTGGGGACAAGAAAAGACTTCTGAAGTAGCAAGGGAAGCTTCTCTGGATCCTCTGGCACAGAAGCTCCAACAACAAAGGTGATGGTTTGTTTCCTGCTTGGCTTAAGAAAAAGAAGTTGCAATACATCACATTCATATAACATAGTTTAACAATATTAATTACAATATGCTACATTCTTTCCTTAAGTAGTAAAAACTATGCTTAAAAAATTCATTTATATAGTTATGTCAACTATTAGGAACAGCAGTTTGATTTGTTGACCCCTGCCCTCCTTCCATAAAATCACTTGCATTTATAGCTGAGGTGAAACTAATTTCAAGAAAGTATTCTATTTGAGGATACATCATAAACATATTGTTACTAAATGGTACACATTTGCGGAAGGCTTAGTTCTATTATTAACTTTAATGTTTTACTTGTGTAATGTGACACCTAGTGTGTTGTACAGATTGGAAGAATTTGATTAGTGACGAGTGTGCAGCAACTGTTATACTACTCAATTTGGAGTAGTTCTGGCTTATAAACAAAAAAAAAAAAAGGTTTGACTAGCATTCTAGCAACTGAGATCTCCTACTTGTTTCCTGTTCGACTTGTGCAAAATATGAAGCAATCTCAATATTGTTCAGAGTGATGATATCCTTGAAGTAGTTGATTTGCAAGTTTAAAAAATCTAATAGTTCTTGTTTAATGGGCAATCCTCTAACTTCAAAACTAATTCAAATTATTATTTTTATCCTCTTCTGATGAAACCCTATTACTGATGAAGTAGATAATACAAAACACTACGTAGTTTTATTTGAGATAGTTTTAAGATATGTTGCAATATGTCATGTATTGATCACTAGTTTTTCTATTTGAAGACAGGCTTTGATCCTTGTTCGACTTCTTGGTCAGCGGATTGACTTGGACAACATAAAGGTTTGGACATTGAGATGATATACTTGTATATCTCCACTTTCAAATCAAGTATGACCAGATTTATATGTAGTTTCTACTTTAATCTTGTAGGTTGAAAGCTTGTATCCTGAAGAAATGGGACCAAATATAATGCATGTTGAAGATTTTTTGGTGAATGGCTTTCCACTGCTTGATAAAGGCATCCAAGAGAGGGTTGAAAATTGATGAGCAGAGCAGCAGTCATGTGGGTAGATGAGCAAGATGGGGAAGCAATTGAGCTTGCCTTCAGTAAGAAGAAAATTGAAGCAAGGAAGAATGGCCCAGCAAATTGACAGCAGAACATAACAGAACAAAGCAAATCTGTGGGCAGAACATAACAGAAATGTGATATAAGGCCAGAATCAAGGCCAGAATCAATCAAATCTGTGGGTTCAAGGCCAGAATCAATCATGTCTGTTCACGAACCAGATGAGCACCCTCCCCAACATATTTCTTAACAAGTTTACGAAGCTAAATTGTACAAGACTACTTGGCAGTATAAGCATTTTTGGGAGGATTAAATATTTTTGGATGGATGTGTATGGATAACAAATATTATTAGTTTTATTTGTTGATAGCTGCGCATGGATAACAAATAGTTATGTTTCAAATTGTTATGTTAGATGGATGTGACTTGTGAATGAAAACTTAGAATAGTTGTATTGTGTCGAATGTTAATGAATTATGTATTGTGTCGAATGTTAATGATTCAGTTAATTTGAATGATGCTTTAAAATTATAGGTTTATTATGGATTGAATGAATTATTAGGAATTACAAGTGTATTGTTTTACTGCTTTGGCGACCAATTTATTAGTTGCGACATCCAAAATAATTTTTTTTGGCAAAAAATGACAATTGCCGACCAAGAGTTTTGGTCGCAAAAAATACATGTATTGCCGACCAAAATAGCTCTTGGTCGCGGAATCTCACTTTTGCCGACCAAAAGTTTGGTCGCGAAAAGACACAAATGGCGACCGATTTTTTTGGTCACGGAATGTGATAATTGGCGACCAAAAAATTTGGTCGCGAAATGAAATAATTGGCACTAAACTTTTTGGTCGCGAAATGTGACAATTGGCGACTAAGAAATTTGGTCGGGAAATTATCACTTTTCGCGACCAAAGTGTTTTGGCGACAAAATAAATTAGTCGCGGCAATTAAATATTTAGCGACCAAAAATTTAGTCGGCAAATCCAACTTTTGCCGACCAACCACAATTTTGGTCGCGAATTACTTTTGCCGACCCTCAATTGGCGACCAAAGTAGCGACCAAACTACATTGAAATTTAACTTTGACTAATTTTTTTTTCCCCTTCTCCACTCTCAAAATATGCATGTGAAACAAACTCTCTATTAGTTTTGATGGAAATATAACTGTAGCATTTTAGTTCAAAACCATATGGGAGGGATGTGGCTATTTTTAAAAGATATGGAGGTAAAGTGCTATTTGGTCAGTAAAATGAATTTTGTCCAAATATATATATATACGCTCAATGAATTTTTTTTAAAATCAATTTAAATAGAATACATAACTGTTAACATTTAATTAATTTGATATGGCAACCACCAAAGCATGATTATGTCATATCAATGTCCATGAATGTTGAATAATCTGTTACTAATAACAATGCTAAATATGTATTATGGATTTTTTAAATGGTTGAGCTTCTATGCCTAGAAATTCTTTGCAGGAAGTTGCTGAACCAATGCACATGTATAACATCTTCACATAACCTTAAAATATATATAGGACTTTTATATTATTCTACATGCTTGGTTGTGGTCCCTTCACCTAAGAATGCTTGCTGACATGATCTTCTCCTTTATTGCAATTATTATATACTCGAAAATTAACAAATGTGGAGCTATGCTATGAAGTGATGCGTTGAGGATTTATTCATTTTAACAGGGACAAAATTTGGTGGTTATGGTTCATTTCTACCCACCTATCAACGCTCTCCTGTTTGGTCTCGTCCAATATCTCCACCAAAAAATCATAACTACAGCACGCCCAAATCCCCAAACATTTTGCACCTGGAGGTAGAAAATTAATGAATTTGGGCCTTCTTTTGTTTTTGTGAACTGTTCTTTGTTGTTAAGGAGGAAGTAGAACTGTCTTGGTTAAAATGGGAATTCTAGTTTACCTGAACACTTTGAGTTGTCTAATTATACAGGGTAGCCTCATAACTCTGTAGTTCCATCTAGTGCATCTCTGTCAGCGAGACATGGGCCGTCTTCTACAAATGCCGCATTGCTCCCTTTGCTGAGGTCTTCCAATAATGATTCATCAAAAAGAGACATAGGCATGTCATCAGCACATTGTGCTGAGGAATCCAGTTCAAGATGTGAACTTGCGAAAAACTGTGCTCTTTTACCATCTGAGACCTATTTGGTAACCATTTCGTTTTCAGTTTTCAATTTATATTTACAAAAATTAAAAAAACTGTCATAAAAACTTGTTTGATAATTTTTTTGGTTTATAAATGATTGTCTCAGTTTGTGAATTTGAGAAAAAAAAACGTAACTTCAAAAAATGAGTTTATGTTGGTTTTTAAACAGAAATTTAAAAATTTGATTAACAAATTTTTTTTCAAATAATTCTTTTTTTCCAATTAAATTTTTTTTTCAATGAATTTTTTTTTTTCAACTAATACTAATCAAGGGGGAAATTGGTAATGTTACTTTAAACCTTGGAGAGGGGATTGTAATATGTAAAATGTGAGGGGTGTCAGTGTAATTTATCCAGTGAGGACAAAATTGGTATTTAAAAAAAATTAAATTGCTGACATCAGCAAAATCTATTAGTTAATGAAACTTTAAACCTTACGGAGGAGAATGTAATTTCCAAAAGGTGATGGGAGAACTGTAATAAACATAAACCTCAGGAGGTGTCAATGTAATTTACCTTTTATAAATTGTTGCTGAAACTTACAATAAATGACGTTTTTCTGTGAAATTTTTTTCAAATTGTTGTTGAAAGTTGAGAATTAGCGACATATTTTGTGACGATTTTTTTATACAGTCACTAAAACTTATAATTAGTGATATTTTTTTTGTGACAATTTTCAAACTGTCGCTGAAACTTAACAATTAACGATTTTTTTAAATAGTGTTTGATGAAAAACGTCATTAATTCTCATAGGACATATTAGATAATAAGTCCACCTAGTAGGACCTACACATAAGTCCCTCTAAATTCAATGGATTAAAAAGAGTTAGACAAATGGCTTTGCTTGTTGGCGAGAGTGGGGTGTAAATCACTAGTTATGATTCACAAAGAGAGGACTAAAAACTAAACCAAACATTCTTTAATTCGCTCAAATAAATTTTTGAAATACAAAGAAAGCATACAATGCAAACTTCTCATACTCTTTTATTTTCTTCTCACTCCCACACATTGATCAATCTAATACACAACCTATTTACAGATTATATTTGACAATATGAAAACCAATCTCTAAATTATGACACCAACTTCTTGTCTTCCACTTTGTGAGTTGTCAATCCTTTTCCTTTTGCTTTCCAACATGTTGATTCTTGCTTTAGGCAGGTTGATGGAAGAATGGGTTAGCATTGACGAAGATAATGTTAAGCTTATCTTTCAACATCCCCCCCTAAGCTTAACTCTCCATGATGCTTCATTCCAAGCATCAGCTTCATTCTGGTGAACACATCATTTTTCAATGGCTTTGTGAAAATATCTGCGAGCTAATCTTGAGACTTGCAAGAGAATAACTCCACATCCTTCTATTTCACATGCTCTCGGATGCAATGATAG